AAGCACCCACTCCCACACTTGTCCTCGCCAAACTCACCCAAACCATGCTCAGCTTCTTCGTGTTTGCAGCAGCTCAGATTCCAGGAGGGAGGCAGGAGGAGGGGCCGCAGCGCACGGCCTCACCTGCCACTCAGAACCCAGGCTGCACCCAACAGGAGGTCTGCTCCACCGTGAGGACAGGAAGCCATCCCTTCCCTGTCTTCCGCCACCTTCTCCACGACGTGCCAATGTGGAGGGCCACTCTGTTGGCCTCGGGAAGCCGTCTCTTCTTCAATGATTCTGCTAGAACCTGCTCTGTCGCACTTCAGAGCACAAGGACCGCGGATGGCAACACCCCTGTCACCACGAGTGTCATCTGTCCTAATGTTCAGCCCATGCAGTACTGTCTCATTTACATTTGCAGGATGCTTAAAACCCATTTCTCTGGGCTTAACTGGCAGAAGGGCTCTCTTCTTGCCTGGCCCATGGGAGAGGGGGTGAAGCCACAGACGGATGTTCCCACAGGCCAGTCCTGGCAAGGGGCTAAAAAGGGTCCATGTTGACTTCACTTTCCTCAGCTCTGTAACCCAGGGATAAATATTTACACAGAGACAGTCAGACAGACAGACAGACAGACACACAGCATGCTGTCAATGTAGCTAAGCCCCCAAGCCCGACCTCCTGGGCTCCATGGGACTCTCAGGGTCAGCAGGTAGGGCTCCAGCTCCCACCTGCCAAGCCCACGGGCCACCAACTCGCTGGCATCCAGGAAGTCCCCAAAGCAGAGTAACTAAGACTTCTGGGGAACAGCAAAGACGTTCTAGAAAACTGCAGAAAGTCGGAAAACAAAAGGCGGAAGCACGAAACCAACCAGAACCAGAACCTTCACTTCAGGGATCCCCTGAAGGCATTTCCATAGACGCTGGGAAGATAGTGAATGATCACCAATCAATAATTCCAGCCACACTGTACCGATCTGTGAGTAATCTCTGTGTCCACGCACAGTGATTTTCAGGAAGAACTCTGAAGCCCTCGCTCACAAGGACCTGCCAGGTTAAGAAGAGATGTCTGCAGCCCATTTTCCTGCCTGGAAAACTGTGACATAAGCCTGGTAGGGGGTGGGCTGGGGCTCTATGACCCGAGGAAATGCCAGAGGGCACCTGAGACCCTGTCACGTTTCGTCCCACTTATTTTACAAAGCAACAGCATCTAGCATCTCAGACGACTCCTTGCACATTCAAGTCACTCCAGAGGGGATTTGTACTTCACCAAAGAGTCGCCAGCATTGTAGTGATGGTAGACAAGAGCAGCCAGACCTTAAGGAATGGCCTATTTTAACATCTGGGGAGAAAAATAAAACTTGCATACAGTCACGAAATTTACAAAGGTATAGGAAAACAGCCCTCTCCCCCTCCCCCTTTGAATAAGCTCAGTAGACAGGAAATCCTCAACTCCAAAGAAAGAGGCTCTCGGCACTACCCCCCTTGCTATATAAATTCAATTATTTCCTTTAGAAAACAATAAATTAATGGCAGTATGCATACATCCTACTGGGCATAGCATTTTATGTTATATACAGTTAATACCTATTTGAATTGGGTATTACTGGTGCTTAATCGCTTCATTCTATGCATAGCAAAGCAACCGATTGAATCTAATATTAGTCATTCATCAGCTAAAACATTTTCAAAGAAACAAACTATGTTTCCCCCTCAAAGAACAGCAAGCATTTTAAACACATTTTCCCAGGGATGTTCCGCTAAGGAAAACAGCTTAGAAATGTTACTTTCAACACATCCTTTCTCTGGCTACCCATGACAAGATGAATTGGAACAAACGCTGGGCTGTTTTTTTCCAAGTCTTCCTTCTGTCCACCTGTCAAAAGCAGTTGTGACCCCTCCAACCCAAGAGGTGGCCTCCAGGGCTGTGAAATGTGCCACCCTGCACGGATGCCCCTGGCGCTGTATGCCAGCGTCCTCATTAGGGATTATCCAACCCAGTTGCAGCGGGGAGAGGGAGATGGGCCGGCTGCCAGGCGTTCTTTCAACACAGATTCCGAAAGAAGATCCTGCGAAGTGCCGAAAGCCCAGATTTTCAGCAGTCACTTTCTAGATTCTGTTACATAGCAACCATGCCAGCTCACAGAGGGTACCAACCAAGTTAATATTTTGTTTAAATGACACGCTGCATTAACCCTCTAGGAAAACCCGAGTTTTCTGTATTGCAAGGCGACACCAGTTGTCACCACTGGAACAAAACATGCGCAGATGGGTTGATGACGGGGCTTCATTCATTTAGAATTTTTTTTAAACAACAACAAAAATTTCAAAAGCCAGAGGTGACTCTTTCCCCTAACCATTTGTGCTAATATTAGTAAAGGCAGATTAACATGCATCTAATATGTGCATAATGTCCTTTGGTTAAAAGATGTCATACAGTTGAATTTTGGAAGATACTCATTTCACCCAAAACCTTGATTTGAAAAGTGATAACTCAATAGCACCAAACACTCTTAGGGCCTGGCCCACCGAATGGCACCGACACTGACAAAACCAAAACACAAGAATAACTCTAATTGGGAAGAACAGTCTGGAGATCCGGGAGCTGCTGGGCTTCTGTGAGCCTCCCTGGAGGTATATTAGGAAGAAGCAGGAGGAAGGCAGTCAAGCACACTTGAAAATTAACTTGTAAGAACTCCACACTTCCCCTTAGGAACATAAAAGCCAGAGCAGAAGAAACTACCAGAACAACTCTGCTGAAGGTACTGTACTAGCCCGAGGCCAGGAAATCAAGACAAACAAACCCAAAACCCTAGAAAGGCTCAATAATGCAAAGAGTACGGAGTCGGGGTACTGTTGCTCTAGATGGGTACCGGAGGCCTCTCTGGATTGACATTGCGCTTGTTTTCTATTCAACCCTCACATCGGTATAAATTCATATCAATTTAAATGAATATGTGGCCAACAATTAAGTTGAGTTAAAACCTTTAACATTTTTCTTTTTAAATTATAAAACCACTAAGTACCCTTAAAGGTTTTGAGAAATACCCATGGCAGAAAGATGAGCAATGGAAGCTCTCCTTCCAGCCACTGACATGGGCAGGGTGCGCAGGAGCGCAGGAGGGTACTGCTGGGATTGTGTGTTTTTACTTCATATCAAGAGATCCAAAAGCTGTTTCCATCTCCACAGCCTTGTGTATTTTTGTGGGAAAAAGAAAAAGGAAACAGCCCCCATTGCTCCACTACAGCATTTTAATAGCGGCCAGCGCAGCGAGGTCCAGGCTGGGTGTGTGCGCGCATCAGTGTCCCCCGACTTTCTCAGCACGCCCCGTCTGCAGCTAAATCCAGTCGGCAGATAAAAAGCCACTTAACTTTTCCTTGGCTGAGAAAAAGAAGAGATGGTGGGAAATTCACCAGCATTGTTCAGGGTCCCTTGCTCTGGCTTTTGATTCTTACAAAATGCCAGTTCTTAGCTCTTTGTTTAATGTTAGAAGAGTCCCTTCTTAAGTCTTATCTTACAGTCTGTCTCTCCCATTTTTTCCCCCAGGTCCCAGTGGAGAATGTTCTTCTACACACAATGACAGAAGGAGGAATAAATGACAAGAACAACCAGGTATCAACCTTGAAAACTGTGCAGGCAACGGGCATCTTCCCACCATGATGTCATGGCTACGTTGTTACCAAATTATTTCCCCATTCTTAAACACTTCTAACAGGCTCTGAAGTAGCAAGTTAAGATCTGACTTAGAGTTCCACACAAAACTGTCATTGCAGGCTCTGCATCACACTTCACAAAGCACACCATACCTTCTCAGGAAGGGGGGGGGGGGGAGGAGGGAGAGAGAGAGAGAGAGAGAGAGAGAGAGAGAGAGAGAGAGAGACTGAGACTCTGAGGGAGAGAAGGCATCCACACGAAAACAGACTCTCTCCACACTTAGGAGAAGCTGTTGAAATAACAGAACCAGAAAATCATTTGGAGCCTCTGAGCAATTGGTACCCTGTACTCTATCAAGTGACATACTTATATAAGTGGCCCTCATGAACTGGAGATTTCTTTTCTGTCCAGTTCTGAATTTCAGCTGTTTAGTTTACAATTCAAATGATATTCATCACCAGTTTCTTAAAGGGCAATTGGGGGGGGGGGTCCTGAAAAGGATTACCTGCTTACCTTTTTACTTTCCAATTCACAGAAACCAAACAGTACATTTGAGGGAGGCCTCCTTTACCTTTAACCCCTGCAGGGGGTTTCAGAGCCTCCTCTCTATCAATGTCAACACAGACCAGCTGTCTTTCCCCCCTTCCTCTAAACTGCAGACAGTCCTTCCAAACAGGGGCTCCCTGCAATCTACCATGCAAGCCTTGGTTTCCCCCAGGGCCCATCACTCAACCACTGAGGTCCAGATTTTCCCCTGGGAAGTGCTCTCCGCCTGTGCACTTGCTGGAAATTTAAACTCCATGCAGAGCAAAGCATCTACTGTTCCTTGATATATTCCACTGCCTGCGCGATCGCAAATGGGGAGAAAATAAAGTCCAGATGCAACTGAGACAAGGGATTTGGCATCCGTGGAGAAAAGTGCACATTACTCCACTCCTCCACCCTGAACAAGGCGGCAGAGCCCCAGCTCCCTCTGGGAGTCATTCCAAAGGAAGCAGCCTTTGGAGCTGGGGGGAACGAAGGCATTCACCCCTGCCGCAGGGGTGGGGGCGTGAAAAGTTTGCCACAGAGCTGGGGGCCTGTGCCAAGGAGAAGGCACTCTACTGCCGGGAGGGACCTGCCGGCTGCACCTCGCTCAGGCTGGCCGGCCGGTGTGACCGTGTGACCCCCGTGCACACGGGTTTTCCTTAATGACAGCAGCCTGCAACTCCCAGCTCCAGAGCAGCGGTGACCACCGCCGGGCGGAAGGGGTTACAAGCACAATGCAAAGCGATTTCGCCCGGGCATGGGGGGCGCCGAGTCCCGGCCACCTCCGGGCCAGCGTGCTCGCCGGCCTCGCCTCCGCCCGGGCGCCGGGCGATCCCTACCTTGCGCGCCGAGCTGGTGGTTCTCCATGTTCGCCGCCGCCGAGTCCGCCGCCGCCGCCGAGGCGCTGGTCGCGGCTGCCGGGCCCGGGCCGGGGCCGCCGCCGCCGCTCAGTTCCGCCAGTCTCCGGTTGGTGGCCGTGAGTTCCGCTCGCAGGTTGGTCACCTCCTGGCTGGCCGACTGGACCGCCCCATCGATGCGGAGCGCGAGCTGCTTATTGTCTTCCATCATGCTCAGGATTTTGGCCTGGGGGCGAGAGAGGTGACAAAGAGCTGCATGATGCGCGGGGGGCGCGCGGCCGGGCACCCCCGGCTCTACCTGTTGGGTCCCCCGCGGCCCGGCTCCCCTGCGCCCCGACCCCCAGGCACCGGCAGCGCCGGCTCCTCCGGCGCAGGAATGACAGCGGCGCCTCCAGCTCGAGCCGCGGCGGTGGCGAGGCGGCGGGGGGAGGAGGAGGAGGAGAAAGAGGAGGAGGAGGAGAAGGAGGAGGAGGAGCAGCGATCGCCGAGACCCCGGCGGGCGGGCGGGCGGGCGCCGGGAGCTGCGCGCAGAGGACACCGCGCGCCGCCGGGCGCTCTTCAGCCGGAGCCTACCATTCGCCCGCTCGGGAGGGGGCCTGGGCCGGGGGCTGGGGGCACCCTCCGTCCTCGGCGCCCCCCTCCTTGGGACACACCCCCAGGGGATGCGGGGGGCGGGCCGCGCCCCCGAGGGGCCCAGGCGGCGCCCCAGGCGGGGGTGGGGGCGCCTAAGCCGGGGCCGGTCCTCTGTCCCCTCCCCGCAGCGGTGGGCAGCCCCGCCCCGCGGACGACTGCCCCGCGCCCGGCTGGGGGTCGGGAGGCGGTAGGTGCTCAGGAGAGAGGGGTGCGCGGAAGAGGGGCCCCGGAGGGGAGCTGGAGGGAGCTCGGAGCGGGGAGGGAGCTCGCGCGAGCTCAGGAGCGGAGTTCTTGCTTTGCGGGTTCCCTAAATCGGGGGGAGCTGAGCTGGTGGCCCGAGTGCCTCTCACCTCCGCCCCCGCCCCGCCGCCGACCTGCGCTGTCAAGCCCCGGAAGGAGCGCGATGCTTCCCTGGCCCGGGCCGGTGGAGCTGCGGCCTCTCCACAGCCCCCACCCGCCTGGTGCCCCCAGGTGGAGGGCGCTGCTCCAGCCGGTCCAGAGCTTCTTAGCTGGGCTGAGAATTGGCGGGGAGAGCCGTGAGGATAGGAGGGAGGACGGGAGGGCGTCGGGGGTGTGCTTCTCCTTCTCCTGTGCCGAGGAGTGATGCGCCCCGCGGCCTCAGTTTACCCACCGCCTTTTCTCGGCCACCGACGAACTGAGGTAACCTTATCTGAAAGGCCCCTCCCGACTCCTCTTTCCCAGAGCGCAGGCTTCGCATTTTTTCACTGGGGCCCTGGATTCCAGCCACCAGACTTTGTTACCATAGCAAGCTTCATTCCATGCAAATAGGGCAACTTAAAGCCGCCAGTGCAGCCCCCTGGCCGACAGTGCGACAGTGCTCAGGCCCCTGGGAACTAAGAGCGTTTTGCAGAAACCCACGGGGTGGGTGGGGGGGGCTCTTGCATAAGACCAGGGCACCCACCCTTCAGACCCAATGGCATGAAAACCCCTAAGAACCAAGCCAGGAAAAGAGTGAATGTGGTTTTTTATGCATTGTTATCTCTTTGACTAAGGATTGTTATTCTCCTCTTAGAGGAAACTGAGGCTCTGGGCAGAAGTAAGCAATTTACTTAAGGGGCCCACAGAAATCAGGTGAATGAGGTAAGTGAGCATCTGACTCCAGGTAGTCCCACTGTGCCTCCAGGAGACCTTGACTGCTAGGATCTTTATTCCTTTTATGTGGAACCAATAACCACTCTTGCCCCACCCTGTGGCCACCAACAACCTTCTGCAAGAGGGCAGAACAGTATGAGATGGTGGCATATGGGGTAGGAGGCACAGTTGTCCAATGTCTGTCCTGCTCAGCTAACTAACTGGTCAGCGTGGGAAATGAGCCACTGACCAACCTTTGCCTCGTTAGCACAAGTTCTGACCAAATGGACCAACCATGGCTCCTGGCACTGCGTGGTTCAATTCTTTGAAGGCCTTTGGGTTGCAGGGGAGCATCAAAACCACAGCATTCTGTGGGTCTTCAAAGGGCAGAAGTCATGGTGTGGCCACTGTGGAAAACAGTCTGGGGGTTCCCCAAAAAGTTAAACATGGAATTACATATGACCTAGCAAATATGCCCCTGGGGTATGTGTCCAGAAGAGCTGAAAACAGATATCCAGACAAAAATGTCAGGAATGTCACGAATGACATGTATGCTCAGAGCAGCACTATGCACCACAGCCAGAAGGCAGAAATAACCCAAGTGGCCATCAATGGACAATTGTTTTATACTTATGATGAAATATTATTCAGCCATGAAAAGGACTAAAGTGTGCCATAATATGAATGGAACTTGAGGACACTGTTAGGTGAAAGCGGCCGAACACAAATGTCACTTATTGTCAGATTCCGTCGACATGAAATACCCACAATGGGCAAGTCCATGGAGACAGAGGAGAGGTGGGTGTCTTCTAGGGGCTTCAGGTTGGGGGAGAAAAGTGGGCTATTAATACTTTATTAATTGCTTAATAGGTCATTAATAAATTATTAACTCATTAATAACCTGTTAATACATTACTAACTGCTTTGTAGATTATTTAGGGGTGGTAAGATGTTTTGGAACTAGACAAGAGGTGATGGTCACCCAGTACCGTGAATATACTAAATGCCATCAAAAGGTCCAGTTAAAGTGGTTGATTCCATGTTGTCACCTCTGGTACGGCCCGCGTCAGAAGAAAGGGTAATGTATCGGCTTCCATGTGTCTCTCCTGCTTCCCAGGGACTTCTGGGCAGGAGAGGGGGCAGTTGGGTCTTTCTTGCCCTCCCTCCTCACAGGCTTTCCACCAGCCCTCGGCAAGCTCCACGTGTGCCTGTGTGTGTGTGTGTCTGTGTGTGAGCGTGTTTGTGCTGTCAACAAACTGACCAAGTGTTACTCATTTTCCTCTTCAGTGAGATTAATCCCACACACCCCAATCTTCAACTCAAAACAAACCAAACCAGGGGAAAAAGAAAAGAAATCTAACAAGGAGAAAAGAAAGCAAAGATTTATTTCTTGGGACCCCTCTCCCCTCACTGAGATTTCAAGGAACTTGCTTTAGAAATTCCTGGGTACCTCCTACGATTTTAAAGAATTTTATTTTTTGACATTTTTCTCCCATATTTTTTATTGATTCATTGTGAGATTTTTTTCCCCCCTAAACATGAAAAGAGGGCTTTCCCCTCATGTCATTCCTTATAATCACCCCCACATGAAGGAAATCTGAGATCCGTTACCCTCTCAGGATCAACTTGGTTTAAACACAAATGGCTCCTGGCCTACCTTTCTTACCCTGGGCCTGGACAGTGCTTGTGCCTGGGTGATCTCAAGCAGCAACTGCCCAGAGCCTGTGTCCTCTGCCACCTGCCTCAGGCCCTGTTTGCAAGCCCCCTTGCCTGGGTGTGTGTGTTGGGGGGTTGGTATGCACTGGCTTGCCATTTCTTGGGAGACACATGAACTTTCGAGAGAGAGAGGGTTCGCTGTCACCCACAACTCTGTTCATCTCTTCGGGGTCCACAGCTACAAGAGCTGGACAGGACCGTGGGTTCTAGTTCAGGGTCTTCCTTTCTGTATGTTCCTAAACTAGGACCCCCCACACACCCCGGTAAGCTGAGGTGAAGAACCACCATGATCTGTCCACCAAAGTTCATATGTTGGAAATGTAATCCCCAGAGTCAGGTGCTGATCGCATCTGGAGGTGAGGCCACTGGGAGGTAATCGGGGTTAGAGGGGGTCACGAGGTGGGGTCTCTGGGATGGCCTTAGTGGGGTTAGAGGAGAAGGGACCTGAGCTCTCACGCCTGCTGTGTCTCTCCATGAGATGTCCCTGTCATGTTGTGATCACAGGAAGGCCCTCACCAGATGCCAGCTCGCAGATCCTGGATTTCCCAGCCTCCAGAACTAAGAGAAATAAATTTCTTTTTTAAAGGATAAAATATTGAGCCTGCAGATTCTGCTACAGCAACATAAAACAAACCGAGACACAAACCAGCCAGAAGATGGATCTGCTACATTGGAACCTGCCTCCCTTTACTCACTGTCACCTGTTATCATTCCTGACTACCCAAATGCCATCCAAGACCCAGGTACGGTCACCAGCCTCTGCTGGTATTTGCCGAGTGCCTGATCTTTCTGAGCAGCATAAACCCACTGTGCCATGCCCGCCTGTGCCCACCAAGCCTTACCTGAGCATTTTGTAAAATCCGCAAGTCGTGGCCACCACCTTCGTGGCCACGCCCCCTCGCTCTTGGCCACGCCCCCTCGCTCTTGGCCATGCCCCTTGCTCTTGGCCACACCCCCTTCTCACTAAATTCCTTCCTCTAATTCTTTCTGACCTCAGGGTCTCTCTCCATCTTTGTCTTTTCTCTTACCTTTGCCTAGAATGGTCTCTCCTAGCTCTCTGCCTCTGACTCCTTTTCATCCCTTAGATTTAACATTCGACATTGACCTACTTCATAGCATATACCACCAGTGATCTGTTTTATTTATTTGCTAATTTGCCATACTGTATACACTGGAGGATTTAAAAGATATCACCCTGAGTTTGGCTCTCTAGGGTGAAGGTCTTTAAGCTGCAGTTACTGAGGTCCCTGAGGCAATCCTGTTTATTCTGCTTTGTGTTGGATTTCATGAAATTTCCAAGAATAAATGCCCTTTACTTAGGCTAATTTGATTCCTTCTATTGCATGCAACAATAAAACGTCCTAAAACTGCAGAGTCCCCCACCACACGCACCCACCAGCTGGACCCGGAGCCCCAGGAGGGTGGGCTTGGTCCTGTTCTTTCTGCTTCCACTGACTCATGTGCCATCGATGACCCCCCCCAAAGAGTTAGTGGTGGACGGAGCACATTCATCTCCCCCACACCCCACAACTCCCAATCCATGAATATTCTTTCTTCTCTCATTAAAACCCTCCTCATTCTCGGTCTTCCCCAGGAATTCCAGTCACATCTTAATTTGCAAAGTACTTTCACAGCTCTCTTCTTATTTTATTCTCGAAACAATTCCATCGAGTGGAGAGGGTACTGGGATCTGCTTCGGGCACCTTAGTCTGAGCACCGCACGCTGCCCGCGTGTCCTTCCACCCTGTGGCTCCACACGTCCTTGCTGAGCAGAGGAGCTGAGGA